AATTAAAACTTAAGATATCAGTAGGATACAGATAAAACGTGGATACATGCATGGAGACCAAATAAGAAACCAATGGATTAAAAAAAAGAAGCTCTTTTCATATAAGATTAAACTAATTAATTTGTTTAAAAATTACTTTCAAAATTTGAATTATGAAAAGTCCGAAGCACCCATTTTTACTCCAAAAATGATGAGCACTTAAGCGTTTAGATGTGTGTTCTCATGATTTTCTCAGACAAAAGCATTAGTCACCAATTTAGAGATTGTAATGTCAATATTATTCATAAGGAAAAGGAATATATGTTAGTTCACTGCATTATATTATTTTCCATAAACCTTAGCATGCACGTTAAATCGTTAATACTTCAAATCATTATCCACTACCAGTCCCTCTAATCGAATTAGGTGAAATTAATACGAGGGAATTACAAGTGTCATGTCCTCTATTTTAAATATATATTAACAAAATTATTAAAAGAAGGAACAAATTGAAACCCTATCCTGACCCACAAAGGTTATATTTTCATCAATTGTGAGAAGGAAATTGGTTGGTACAGTGAGAAAAAACAGGAAACATAAAGTGTCCAAATTAACCTATACCCTACCTTAACAGTGTGGAAGAAGACCAAGTCAGTGAAAAGAGGACCCAAATCTTTGTCCCGTTGACTTTGAGTTTAGAATTAGGGGAGAAGCAATAACTTGTGAATTACAAATCTGAAAAGGACAGGTATAGGATGTGGCTTTGCCTTTGTTCTTTGCCCAAACAGTGTGTTCTGATGGCTCCATTATTTTGTCCACTTGACACCATTCAAATTGCTAATTAAATGAATCTGGCAAAGTGGAAAACAGATATGGCGGCCATAGCAAATCTTTCTACTTTCTAGCTAGTTTCTATGCCACCTTTCTGCTTATAGCATTCTATATTATTCTGGGTAAGATACCTGAAAAGGACATGACCCATGTAACCCTTTCCCCCCTCTTTATTTACCTTTTCCCCCCTCTTTGATTTATTCATGTGTGTGTTTGTTCACTTATCTTCTTTTATTCATTCCAAAGTTATGGTTGGAATAAGTGCACAAAAGTACTCTCATGGGTAAAGACCATACGGATTGAGGTATTTGATTGTTGTTGTTGTTGGCGTTGCATTATTGCATATGACACATCTCATGTCTCCATTTGTTGCGTCAAGCAATGGAAACTTGATACACTTTGGAAAAGAATAGGGATAAGTTGAATTTTAATGTAAATAAAAAGTATATTCAAAATATGACTTTGGAATAAGAATAATAAGCCTACGATAAGAGAGCTAGCAAAAGTAATGTACCCAATATCCCAACTCCTATCCTAGTGATCATTTTGGTTATGTAGATTTTTTTTCGTGGAAGAAGTTTAAACACGCACACATGAATGATTCCCTTGAGAATAAGTAACAACAAATTTCAGAACACCCAATTGCCACAGGTTAACATCTATGCCAAATGAATGGATTTTAAAATTTCCCCTTCGTTTAAAAGGGTTTATAACAAAGGGAATCGGATTCTTAACCAATCTCATAGTTTACCCCGTAAAGTATTTAATATATTTTATGTTTTCGATATAATAATAAATAAATATTTTTATTTTATAATATAGTAAAAAATTTATTAAAAGAATATAGAAAAGCTCCGTAAAGATTATCGCATTAAAATACTTTCGTGTTTCCCGCACGTACCAATAGGAATTTAGTGCGATATAAAGTGAAAGTATTTTCAAGACATGTAAAAGTTCATATCATGATAAAAACAAGGACCCTTAAAATATTCATTAATAAGACCATAAAAATAATTACTAAGAATATTATTATTTGTTTTAATGTATTTAAGTGTTCAATACTTTGATGTGATGTATATGCACAAAACAAGAAAAAAACTTGGAAGTAATGTTTCATGATAAAATTGAAGAAGAGTGTTTAAATACACAAATTAAGTGAAAATTGCTTATTAATCCAATGATCATTAGAGATGATGCCAACAATACTTGAAGCAATAAAAAGGCATAATTTTGTAGCATTTTTCTTAAAAAATTTCATGCCAGAAAGGCCTAATATTTTAAAAGCATCTAGAAATTTCATTTATGTGGTTAAGAATAGATGGGAATATCCAAGGAATGTTCCTTTTGTGAATACTTGTTTGACAATGTGCTCTGTATTGTGCTGTAGTGCTGTATGCAGTTGTTTTTCACTTTTTTATTTAATATGAAAAAAGTAAACTAAAATACAATTTAAATTAAGTCAAAAGTAGAATATTGTGAATGTCTACATACATCCGCCGACCCTGTTAGATAAGTCCGAATATTCGCAACCCGTTCTATTATCCTTTTTTTTTTTTGTCATTTAATATTTATTTTTGATAAATTATAGTAATTAAGTTTACAACAACCAAAAATAAATTATTCTGTTAGGTAAAATCGACTATATAAATTATACACTTTTATTAAATTTAATTAAAAATTAAATTCCCATAAATAATTATAATTGAGTTTAAGTGCAATAAAAGTATAAAGATTAAATGGGTGTTTAAATTAACTTATTTTTATTAAAAATATTTTATAATTGAAAGTTTAAGAAAAATTAAATATCTAAACCGATTCAAACATAACATTAAAACAACAAAATTTCTGTTCACCTATATTTTAAAGTGCCGAATGTTTTATAACGAAAAAATTATTATACATGGAAAAAATTACTCAATCTAACTTGGTTCATATAAAAGAGTTTTCGTTTTTTTTTTCTCTTATTTGATAGATCAATATAAAATCGAAATTCTAAGATTATACCACGATCGAATTTGGACTTTTGGACACCTAATATTCCGCATTTTTGGGATTCATAAATAAATATACTTAAAGAACTTGAACAGCTTTTGGGGCACGCATGTTTCCTCTTAATTTCTATCAAAAAGCAGAAGTTAGAAACTTGTTACCATCACTTTGTTATTCAATGGACTTACTAAACTTATATTTAATTTACACAAATTTCTCAACAAATAGGAGAAAAAAATTAAATGAATCATTTTTTTATAAATTAAAATTAATTTTTATAAGTTAAGCTTCCACATGATGTTACATGTGGAAGCTAATAGTGCTGCTACCTTTCGGGTTTTGCTATGTTGAAGATTTTAGATTGAAGTAAAATATTAGTTTTTTGTACCACAGGGAAAATTCAAAATGTGTTGCTTATATGTGTGTACCATATAAAATACATTTTTCTTAAAATGACATAATACTGATACCTATAAATGGCTACAACATGGACATTTGTTGTCGTTTTAGATCAGAGCTACACATTGGTGTCAAAGACAATACCTTTGAGTCGATTCAAAGATCAATTGGTATCATCACCATCTGAAAATGTGTTTTTAGGTATATTTTTGGTCCTACATGTAAATTATGCCTCAATCCAGCGTTCACACCTCAACAAAATCGGAACATAAAACGAAAGAATTTTGAGCCCAAAATCCTTAGGGCCCAGATTCGCGTTTGGAAACAAAAATATTGAAGGCTAATGCAATCCTAATATTTATTAAAGATTTTTACTTCTTTTAAGTGATATGCCTTCTTAAAACTTAATCATAATAACCTAAATAGGATTAGGGTTCTTGAGTCTAAAATCACAAGGGCTTAGATTGGCATAAGGGAAAAGATATTTTTTTAAAAAAAGGGTCTATGAGATAACAATTTTTAGTAAATATTTAATTTTTGCAAAGTGATGAATTCATTTTTATAGGAAAGTAATAATCGAAGTTTTTTTCTTAAGAAAATAAACTTTAAAATTGTAATATATTATGTGCTTGAAACATGTTATCTTAATTTCAACCCTTAATAATCTCATCAATCATTATACTTTAATTAAACTATTCACTTAAAAAAAATCTTGACAAGTAGAATTTAATCACTTGAGTGATTAACATGTTTTAAAATAGTTAATGATTAGCCAGTCAAGTTGTTAATGAATTTCTTTTACAAATTCATTTAGTAGTTTTAAGTAGTGATTCTTTCTTTGGAGAAAAGAAAAAGAGAGAAATAGTCAGCAAGAAAAGAAAAAAGCTTCGTAACCCTTTTTAAAAGAGTAACTTGACCACAAAATATATTAAAACTTATTTTTTAATATATTTTTGTGGTTTAGGGAGTAAGAGATTAGAGACAAAAATTTGGGATAGCATATTTTTCAATAAAAGTAAAAAAAGGTAAAGAAGTAAAATGAATCAAACTTCTTTCTGAAGTTAAAATCAAGCTACATATCTTAACTTTTGAAGAACTTAAATAAGAAAACTTATATAAAAAAATGAAGTAAATAAGTTAATTTTAATAAAAAAATTAATACATTTATCTCATTTTATTCTCTTAATTGCTTATTAATAACTTTCTTTTTTTTGAATCAAATATTAATAAGTTTATTTAAATTAGATCTCAAAAGTCTTCTTGAATCTAGTGTGGATAAACTTCTCAATAAGTACTAAGAGAAATAAAAAAAAAATTGAATAATAAAATAAATCAACTTATTTATAGCCTAACAATAAATAGACTTCAGTCTTTAAAATTTAAATAGATTAATAAGCATATAATCTTGAAATATTTTATACTAAAAGTTTAATACAATTATTACAATTGCTCTTAAGTTAAGAAGGCTTTTTGAATAATTAAAAAACTTAACCTTTTTTTATTTAAATAAACTTTTAAAAAACCCTGAACTTATCTTATTTAATAATAGGCTTGACCAGACCTAGCTCAGGCCTATTGCGGATAGGTTGTTACCATCCCTAATGGTGATCATGATGATGGAGACATGAGCTAATGATCTAGTGGAACAAAAATGGTCAAGACAAGATTTTCTACACTACCTCTTTAGCCCCCTTAGTAAGTGGTGGCTCTTGGACTATGCATACAAGGTGATAACATGTACATGATTACTCTACAAGATGATACATGTACATGATTACTCTACCTCATTTGTGTAACCAAAATTAAACTAGATACATCATTCCAACTTCCAAAGATGATGCATGAGGAGCACTAAGTACATAGGACGGCTCCCTACTATTCTTCCTTAAGAATTCATACCCAACATTAATAACTAACTTCTTCAGCATGCTGGACCCTGCTTTGGCTCTCATGTAGGACTGTCCTATAATGTAAGCTACACCAACTTCCCTGGCTTCCATCAACTCTTGCAACTCCTCCATTGCATCAGTGTCAATCTTTGGACTCTCTGGCACAATAAACCTAACCTTTTTCTTTGGATGGATCATCTTGGTTGACTTTATCTCCCTTAGCTCTAATGTGTCAGCTAAGTCTACAACATCCTCAGCAGCATGCGTATTCATCAAAATGGGATGGCTAGAATAGGTTCCAACAACTTCCATTTTGCCATCCTTTTCAAGCTCAACATTTGAAGAGTTGCACCTATTAGTAGCACTTCCTGCTTGTATGAACTTTGCTATGCTGCACACAAGATCTTTCTCAAACTTATCATCATATTTATGGACATCATGGTATCCATATCTCACTATGCACCTGTAGATTCTGAAATCTCTTGGACCTACGCGACTGACTAGAAACCGTTCCTCAGGCCTAACATGTGGAACTGGCACATGCTTGATGCATAGGAAAATAAGGACTTGATGGAATGCTGGTAGGTTTGTTACAAAGTGGGAGAAGATAGCAGGAATTCCAGACACTAGTTCAGTGTGTACAAGGCCAATCCCACGTACTCTAGCAAAGCCTAAGCTTGGGCCAAGGCTTAGTAACCAGTTGATTGAAACCTTGTTTTGAACATCAAATTCATACTTTTTGAGAATGCCATAGTGCCAAACACACATGACAGATAGAAACATAGATGCCAAAGCAATTGGCACCCATGCTCCTTCAAAGAACTTTATTACAGAAGCTGAGAAAAAGAGAGCCTCAATGGTGCCAAATAAAAGAATAAACCCAATTGCAAGGAAAACATTCTGGTCCCAGCAGATTACAATTACCAGTGACATCAAACACGTGGTGACCAGCATCACTGAAATAACTGCCAAACCTGTTGTGCACAGCGCACTTTGTCAGACGTAAACATATGTTAATAATACTAAGACTGCTGTGCTGTGATCCAACTCAAATACATCCTTCAGTCTTTTTTATGGAAAACAACTATCAGTAATTTTGTTTTGTCCTTATTATAAGAAATGAATTTCAGATGCATTAATTGCTTAATTCTTTTTATACCCTTATTTATTATTAGATTTGTGTTAACGGGACAGTTATTCATTATCCATATAAGTGGATATATTCATTCATTTAATATATAAGTCACCAATTTAACTATTTAATATAATAGCAAAAAAAAATAAAATTATTTAATATTATGGGCATTTCTAAAATACAGTATATATTTTTGACATATAACTATTTTTTATTGATCTTGATGATTTAATTATTTGTTTCTTATAAAAAGGATCAAAGTTATAATAACAAAGAGATGCTAATATCATATTCCAGTAAATGCCATCCTCTTAATTCAGGTGGTTCCTTATAAAATTGCTTCAATATTGATGTAACAACATAATAGTAATAATGATCTAACCTGATGCATTTCCCATAAGCTTAGTGTCTCTGAAACCAACAGTTACAGCCAGACACAAGAGCATCAACAACCAGTTGATCTCAGGGAGATACACTTGTCCATGAATTTTGGATGAAGTGTGCACCACTTTAACTCTCGGGAAGCAACTTAATGCAGTGCATTGTTTGATGATTGAGAATGTTCCAGTTATGATAGCTTGGCTTCCAACGACTGCAGCAAATATGGCTATCACCAGAACAGGCCATCTAAACTTCTCTAAAGAACACGAGTGAAATATTCCAATTAGATTATAGAGCCCTTCCATCATTTTCATCTAGCATCCTATCAGAAAGAACAAAGTTGTATTTCCTACCTGGCACGGATGCATAAAAACCAAAGTGATACTCCAGCTCAACATCATGATGTCTAGAAAAATAAGCAGCTTGCCCCATATATGCAAGAATTAAAGATGGATAAACCAAAGAGGTGAAAGCAATCTGCAGAAATTTCAACATTTATCAGACAAAATACAAAATATTGATTTCCAAAATCTATTTAACTAAAGAACAAGACATAATAATTAAAAAACGATTTGAGTAGTGTTTCCTTTTTTTTTTTTTCTTATAAAATTATTAACAAATAACAACAATAAGGCATTATAAAACGTCTACCATTAATTTGTTTGGATTTGAATGGGGGGATAGAATAAAGTTCCGGTGGAACTAGAAAAATATTTGAGGAATAAAGTAGAAAAGTATGACGGTGACAAGAAAAAGCGTGATGCAGATTAGAGAACAAGGACACTCCGGTAGATTTCGCTTAGCTTTTAGATCTAGATTCTTGGCTAAAAGAAGCTCACAAAAATTCATCCATATCTAATGCCTATAAAATTGGTAATCATAATGTTCTAAAATTTGAAATACTCAGAAAATTTAAAAGAGTAGGAGCTAAAATATTTTAGCATTGCATGTAACTGACTCTTGGATGGGTCTTGAGTCCAGGTAAAATTTGACTAAATTCTATCAATTAATTTCTGGCTATATTACACTACTTTAATAGAAATAAATGAATAGCATGTATACAGTATGCTTCTAACATTGCACAAATCTATGAGAAATTTGAAGTCTGTCAAAAGCATAGAAAAAGAAGCAAGAAGACACACCAAATAAATCACTGTATATATATCATCTATCCCTCATAGGAATGTGGGTGACATAGTTGCTACAAATCATAATTTCACTTCAAACAACAGTGCTGCTAGGAGTGAGTGAGTGACCCAACTTAAAAAACAGATGCAACCAGAGTGAAATTCAAGATGTCAACCTTCAGATACAAATATCAATTCATGGTATACTAATCTTTCTACAATGAGGTAGATCAGCCACCAATCCTATGTCAACAGAAACTAAATTATAAATAGCATACCTTGACTGATAGCTGTGAAAAGTGTCCAAGACTAGCAAACATGGCTTCTGATCCTGTAAAATAGAAAGAGTGCATTAGAAAAAAGGAAAGTTGGCGTAAAATACAAGTTAATCACCAAGCAAACAAATGGACCTGTTATGCATAGCAAAATTCCACCAAGGGCCATCCAACCTCCTCTTTGAGTCTTCCTTAAAAATTGGAAAACATAATATGGAGAAAGTGCTTGGTACACATGAGGATTCCAGTAAAATATATTATATATACCAATGGCACTAATACTGAAGAGCCATGTACAAATTATTGGAGCAAACAAGAATCCAACCCTGTGTGTGCCATAATGTTGAAGGGCAAACAAGCCTATCAATATGATGCATGCAGCTGGAACTTCTACATCTGTCAAGTTTTAGAAGTACTGTCAGTGAGTCATGTGTCACATGTCTCACATAAAGGAGAAGAGTGGTATCAAAATTCTAAATGCAAATGTAAGCACAAAAAATATAAAATAAGCAAACATAAATTGAGGCAAGTCACAAACTTATTGTAGAGAAACAACAATTTTTTTAAAATTTCTTATATATGAAATTATCCTTTCTCTTAAGAATATAAAAAATTTGTGATGAACACATGTTTGTCTACTTTAGTCATGTGATGGTCCCAATCCAAAGTTAGGAAGCAAAAACAATATGACAAAAGCAATTTCCCCTGTCAGATAAAAGTCATAGAATGCTGAATCAACAAGTCACTAAAATAGATCCATCTATATACTTATGTCCAGCCATGCTTTTGACAATATCTAATAATCAATCTCTCCACCTCTCACATCATCACAAATTGTTTCTAAAGATAGTAACAACACAGCTGGATATGATAGCAGTATTATAGTGATAATGCAGAAAATCTTAAGATCCCTATAAACCTTTATCATGATGAGAAATTATGTCTTCACATGTAATTCTAGTTTCAATTGATGTCTTAAATTAATTACTAATACTTAACTGAAAATCAAAGCAATTTCCCCTCTCCCTCCTACCTACCTCCAACAAATGCAGTTTTATAAACTCACTAAGTTATATCATAAGCTATTGGGGGATTGCCAGTAAGGAAAACCCAATCTATAAGCTTTTGCCATAACTGGAATAATGATTCACTTGAGTTTCCACTGACACCATAAAAGTTGCACTAGTCAAAATTTAGAAGAAAATTTGCATTAAGCTTTTTCATTCTTGCAACATCAATTAAGCCATATCACAGCCTTTTTTAAAACTGGCCAAGACCCAAGTCAAATTTACAAAGTCACCATGAATCTATTATTTAGAAATTGCAATCATCATTTCACGATCCACCCAATTATCAAACTTCTTGTTAACTTGCATGTTAAAAACATTGCCCAAATAATTTTATGTGCAAGATTACAGTACAAGCATGCAGCCAGATCGCAGGAGGTCCTTGTATGTGATTATCCATCTGATTTAAACTTTCAAGGTACAAATTAAGGTCACCCTGAAAGAGGACAGAATATACAATATCATGATTTGTCCTTATTTAAATTTCATTACAAACTTCCCGAGTTGATTATTAAGAAACACCAGCAAGCATAGAAATGAGCACATAAACAACTGGAGATAAAATTACTAGCAAAGTAATCAAAAGAAAGCTATTGACAAATAAAAAGATCTCTTTACGGAATGGACTGCATACTTCTTAAAATAACAATTTCGAAATAAAAGAGATTCAGGTCAAAATAAATCTCCATTTGACCATTAGGCAAGAAAATTGAGCAAAGATGACCCATCTCCATGTCTTAAATGAATAAAAACATGCCATTACCAGAAACATTAAGTCTTGATGATGAACTTACATCTGTGATGTTCCTTGGACATTGAAAGCTCAAAGCCAGACACAGCCGAGAAAACTGCATTCAATTCAAACTCAGTGTGACTAACAGACCCCAAAATCCAAAAGTACACATTTCAAACAAAAACAAACAAAAATTGTGATTTGTGATAAAACTGATGATCACCAGAAATAGCAGGTTTAAGGACTCCAACACCAATCACCATGCAAGTCCCGATCAAAGCCAGAACCAACAAAATCCTCTGCAAGACCTTGTGCTTCTCCAACATGGACTTAAGTCTAAAGGCAAAGCTTCTCTCTGGTGCTACACCATAGCTGTGCTTCTTGTACTCTCTGAGCTCCTCATCAGCCACTTGGCAATTGGGCAATAAGCCAACTTTGGCATGGCGACACAGCAAAGAGTAGAGTGCAAACGTGCCACCTTCACCATTATCATCAGCTTTCAGCACTATCAACACATACTTCACCAAAGGCACCAATGTAAGAGTCCAGAAAACCAAAGACAAAACACCATAAATCTCTTCATTGGTCTCTGAGTGACCAATATCTTCAGCAAATGTGTTCCTATACACGTAGAGTGGTGAAGTGCTTATCTCTCCGTACACAACTCCAATACTCTGATATGCCAGTGTCAGAACCGTTTTCCATGATTCTTTCTTCTACAAAAACAAAAGAAAACCGACATTATTCTAGTTCAACACTTACATGGTTCAAAGCAACAACAACAAAAAATGTCACATTTTTAGCATGCCCAATTCACCTTAGCAGAGTTTTGAAGAATACCACGTTCTAGATCCATGACAAGTGCTCTTAGAAATCTAAAAGAACCATTTTTATTTTTCAAACTGAAAAATAAAGGCTTTGGAGGAGACCCTGCAATAACTTCCTTCCAAGTTTGGACAACATAGGAAAAACAATGGCATATATAGAGGAATTAATATGTATTAATCTGTCTACATATAAGTGTGACAGAATAATTCTAAAAAATATATAAATAAAAAAGCTGTCACCTTTTCTTTATTATTTTATTTGTTTCTTTTTTCTATTGGAGGCAACTTTACAGATCCATGACGGAGTTTTAAACACATTGAAGGAGGACCCAGCTGTGCATGTGTTTTAAGAAGTAGGAAGATACATACGAAACATCGTTTTGATTATTTTAATGTGAGGTGAAAAAAAGTTTGTTCAGTTGAGGAGCAATACCATGTAGCACTTGAACAACCATTAATCGTGACAAGTAGGCCTTAGCAGGGAACTAAGAGAAAATTGATAATTAACTAGATGCTTAAATATACTTTGGCTCCTCAAGTTTTAGCAAATTTTAGTTTTTAATCCTTAAAGTTCTCGTGCTCAAAGCAAAAACTAACCCATGACATTATTTCAATTGACCATACCAGTATTAGAGATTAAAAACAAAAATTTCTGAAAAAATAGAAAGTAAAACAAACAAAATTTGTTTGAAGAAACTAGAACAAAAAATTTGCTAAAATCTCAACACTAGAAACGTATTTTAGCCTTAGCTATATATTTATTTTAATATTTTTAAATTATAAGTGTCATCATTTTAATATTGACTTTAAAAAAATTATTTAAATTTCTAATTTTACAAAATGAAAAGTTTAATCCTTTTAAAATAAAGTGACGATGAAAAATGATGAGAAAAAATCAAAACAAGTAATTTAAAAAACTAAAATAAGATTTTTATAAAATTAATTATTGAAGTGATTGATGTTCATAATTTTCATTATTGACGAGAGATACTGAAAAAAATAAAGCTTCTTCGTTTTAGATGCACTGAATTTAGCTATAGTATTAAAAAAATTAATTAATTTTTTTTACGAATAATAATCAGTAAAAATATCCTGATAGTTGTAGCAGAAACTTTAAATCTGCCTAATAATGGTTTTATTATTATGAAAGGTGACAAACACTATTTTCTTTTATTTCTATTAACTAGATAGATTATTTTCATAGAATTTGGCCTGCTACAATTTTTTTTTATAACCTTTATTCTAAAAGTCAAACTATTTATCGGAAGAAATCATAATTTGAATGACTAAAATATTCACTCAGTAATAATTACATGCCAAAACTTGGGATCAAAATGAAAATTGTGAGAGTTAAATAACAATAAATATTTTGAGGAAAATACATTATACATGCTTAGGTGCTAACTCTGTTGCTGCATCACTTGTTCGTATTAACGGCGAAACCAAAGCAACACACTTCAAGATGCACAGTTTTTTGTGAGATTTTTTCTTTTTTTTTTCTTTTTCAAAACAGCTAGCAAATAGGCTGAAAAAGTACTATCGTATTAGTTACTTCTCAATTAAACCATTCAAACATGTAAAATATTATCGAATTAACTTTTGGAAAATTTTCATTAATTTTTTTAATAAATATTATTCTGTGAGTTATTTTTTGTCAAAATCTTAGTAAAAATTATTATAATAGTATTTTGAATTTTTTAAAATTAATGTAATAATATAATTTAGAGTAAAATATATTTTCTATTTCTCTTAAAATATTTTTGACTTATATTATTTTTAAAAAAATGTATACTCATCTGCCCTGACGCTAATTTAGATATGTAAAAATAAAAAGGAAACAAAAAAAAAAAAAGAGAGACGACGTGAAAATATATAAATAATAATAATAATGTTTGTTTGGGAAGAGATTTTTTCTTTAGTTAAAAAAAATTAATTTGGAAGAAGTGAACAGAAACAAAAGAGAGGAAGGAGGACGTACGAGCAGAGGTTATTTTCTTTTTAAGTTTTTTATTTTTAAAAAATATTATAAAAATAAAATATTTTCCATTAAAAAGATTACAATAAAATTAAAATTTTAATATTTTATGAATATTTTTAATATAATTTAATTATTATTATTATTATTTCATTTAAATTGGTGAATTTTTATTAACTTTTTTTGTTCTTATGTCAAACCATTCAATTATTAAATATTTTTATTTTATTTTCACTGTTATTAACGATATTTTAACATATGTGTTTAAAAAAACAATTTTGGAAATAATGTCTAAAATGCTAGAGGGATCAAAATTGAAATAGAATAAAATTATAACAACCAAAAACTAAAATACTGTTAGGTTTAGGAGAAAAAATAGAAAGGAAAAAATTTGTTTGGGTTGAAAGAAATATAAAAAAGTGAAAGAAATTAAACTAATTTTTTTCTTGCAATAGACAATTATGTTATAAGAAAAATGTATTTTGATATAATATTAATATATTCTATATTTCTAGTTAGTTATTTTTAATATATTTGATCAAATAATATAAACTATTTTAAATTATAAATATAATATTATTTGAATAAGAAAAATAAACCTTTAAATTTATGCTTATTTTTATAATTTACTTAAGTAATGAAATAAGCTGCACCTAAAACTATTAATTAGCCAGCTGTGTTTGAAAATAATAAATTTTTATTAAAAAATTAATTATTAAAATAAAAAGAAAATAATACGTTACAATATTTCTCAAAAGAGAATTTTTTTTAAAAATTAGTAGAATTATATTTTGAAAAGATTAATTTAATTGTAACTAAAAAGAGAATAATTTAATTGAGATGCTGTGAAAATTAGAGATTTTGTCTGTGGGGAAGACATTCAATATTCTACACTGCGTATGTTTTTTACTGAGAGAAAGTGACTGACACAGACTAAACCATAGACAGAAGAAAGAGAAAAATTCGAACTTATGTGGCGTAGTTGCTGCCTGGTGGGAGCTTTTGCTGCCTTTCTTCGCTTCCCAAAATTTGTGTTGCACAACATTCTTTTATTTTTCTAATATCAATTCATAATTATTTTATTATTAATTTGATACATATTTTAACTTACTAGTTTAGTAATATATTGATAATTTTTAATCAATATATAATTTCACCATTAATTTTTATTTTAATTAAAAAATACAGATAAAAATACTATAAAAAGAAAATAATAGTGTTTTACAATATCCGTCAAATATGAGAAAAAGCAGCAATTATAATACTATAAAATTGAATCTTTTAATTAAGCTATTGATGATTTAGAAATAAATTTATTATAAAAATAAATATATTTTACTTTGCGTGATAACTTATGGTTCAGTTTTATTTTTATTTTTTTAAGTTTTTTTTAATGTTAGTTCAATAATTTTTTTTGTTAGTTTTTTTTCATCAAGCTTTTCTCTTCATTCAAATCTTTTACTTCTTTACTCTCATTCTCTTTTTTTCCTCCACTTAAGTCCTCTTTTTTCTTTCTCTCAGTCTCCTTTTTTTCCATCTAACCTCTTTCTCTTTTTTTATCAGTCTCATTTTCTTTCATCCAACTTTCCTTTTCTCCTTCCTCAACCCCTTCTTCTCTTCCCATTTTAAATTTTCTTTATGCAAACATCAACTCTCTTTTTTCAATTTCTATAACTTTTTTAAAAGATTTAATATTTCCTCAAACAAAAGTAAGATTTGACCGTCCAATTCTCATAAAATTTAAAGTAAATATATATCTTAATTGTTTTAATTAAAAATATATATATATATATATATATATATATATATATAGATCAATTGATAAAATTAAGACAAAAATAACTTTTAATTATTATATTTTATTATAAATAGTTAAGATTAAAATATAAAATGTATATGAATTTTTTAAAAGTTATGTAATTTTTTAAAGCAATTATCTGAGTTCTTAAAATTTTTAATCTTTATAAAAAACTTCTCTCGTTAGATCCGTTCTCTAGTTAAATCATTCAAATTATTTTTTTAAAAATCTATTTTTTTTGTTGCAAATTAATTTTCCTAAAAATAAAATTGTAAAATGATAATTTATATAGTGCCTTGTAATTTATGAGATATTTTGTGTTCGTGAGAGCAATTATTATAATTAATTTTATATTAAATATATAATAGATATTAAAAATTAATAGTTTATTTGAAAAAGATATTAAATATATAATAGATATTAATACTCAAGCATTGACTTTAGTATTTGTGGAGACAAAGAAGGGAGCTGATTCACTGGAACACTGGTTGTGTCTTAATGGTTTTCCTGCTACAACTATTCATGGGGACAGGTCACAGCAGGTTAGTCTATTGCACAAATGCTAATAGTGAATAGCTCACTAGTACCAAGAGGTTGTCACATGGTTATATTGGTTGTGCAATATTGCAAACTTATTTTTCAAATTTCATTCACTCTGAGCTCCTATCTCTCAAAACATTGCCTTGGGTTTAAAAATTTCAGCACAAATCAATCAATTTAAAAAATATAATTTTTTTTTTAAATTTATAAGTACTATAACAAGTATCTTGTAAAATATTGAAAAGTGTATGCATATTATAACTTTAAACAGTAAAATAAAATATTTATTTATATTTAAATAATTTAATAAGTTTAATATTTAGAGAAAGAACTTTATTGCTTCTAATGATTTTCTTCAGCTCAAACAAAATGACTTCCAAAAAAAAGACATATATGGTATAGATAAAATAAAATTTTAATTATTTGATGATAAATATTAAATATTTTTATTTTTTATAATTCAATACACTTGATGCATACGATGAAAGATCATTGACAAATTTTATTTATGCTATAAATATAAATTACTTGAATTTTGTTTAAGAGTGTAAAAATAACATATTTATAATATAAATAGTTAGTATATACATAATGAGTTTTTATATTATAAATTTATTTTAATAAATAATATATTTTAAATTAAATTATTTTTATAAAACTATAATAATTTTAGAATAGTAAGTATAACTTTAAATGATACTCTCTCTAGTCCTATT